TAAACATTTTACATCATTCCAAATCCTTCGCACACACACACACACACACACACACACACACACACACACACACACACACACACACACACACACACACACACAGACTCCACAGCCACTCTTCTGAATATTAATACGGAGGAGAGAATTCCTTTGAGCCCCATTGTCAGCCGGCCTATTGTTCTCGGCTGGCCTCTCCCCCGGTGCACGTGCGAGTGTGTTTGGTATTAATCCCCGGCCCGGTGCCTACGTTGTGCGCTTATGCATATTATACCCGTGTATTCATTGCATGTGAGCGCTGTTTGGAGCAGAGCAGCAGTTAAAAGCAGCGGCGAGGGAGCTGAGGGGTGTGTTTGTGGCCTGCCTCAGCCTATAAAGACAACTGGCCTGAGAACACTTGAAGCAGCCGTCGGGGGCCAACATTGGCAATTATTTCACCTGGAGGCACTATCTGTAAAATGAACACTCTCGTTAAAAAAGAGCATACACACACGTGTGTGTACGCGTTGCAATGCCCACACTAGTCGCTTTGCTCGAAAGGCAAAATATACACGGAAACGCAAATGCTTGTCTTTCCATCAAAGAGTAATGTGCTGTTTATGATGTTTGACTGCCTGTGTGTGCGCTCATGCGTGTGTGCGTTTGCACACTTTGTTGTGCGTGTGTGTGTGTTTGAGAGCACATCTGTGTGGATTTATGTGTGTGTCACTGTTTAACTACCCCGCACACGTAACCTCCCCATCTCTGCCTCCCTGTTTCTCATTTACTGAGCCAGCGCCAGAGAGAAGGAGTGTGGGGAAACGAGAAAATAAGTGATAGCGTGGGGGAAGGAGAAAGAGAAAGGGAGACGGTGAAATAGAGGCGTAGAGGGAGGTGGTGATGGAAGTGTGTGTGTGTGTGTGGGGGGGGGGGGTGGTGTATGAGGAAAAATGGAGTGAGGCTGGAGTAAAAAAGAAAAGGAAAGAGAGGAGATAGAGAAGCAGGAAGAAGAAGAGGAGGAGAGGAAAAGACAGAGGAGGAGGCAGCAGATTTATGAAGCCATTGGAATGTAATTTGGAGGCAGAAATTACTGTCAGCCTGAGCAAGGTTTAAACTCGGTGAAGCCTGAATCCCGGGCTTTTGTCTGTGTTTGTATGGTGAGGATCACGGACGAACCAATGGCAAATGCAATGCAGAACAACCCCGCGCTTTGCACTTCCCCGTCGTACTCGGCGTCGCCCATCTTCGCCGTCACCCCTCGCACGAGTGGCACGGCTGCGTGGCATCGGAACATCACCCTGCATTCATATTTAACAGTTCATATTTCATCTCCGCTCCAAAGACGCAGACGCACACACACGCTCTGGATTCTTGTCAGGCTCTGAAGGCCATGACTCTGGCAGAATCAGTCGAGGGTGTCGGTGTGGACAGAAAGAGGGCTGGAGGAGGAGAGAGGGGAAGATGTAGTGGTGGTGGAGAGACAGAGAGAGCGTGTCAAGGATAGACAGAGAAAAAAGGTAGAGGTGGGAAATGGGAAAAAGGAGGGAGTGTGAGACTCTAAGAGGGGCTAAAAAGAAGTGTTGAGAGGGGATGTGACTGGCTTTCTAACGCAGCAACACACAGCTTCCATTTAGCCTGAAAGGGAGGGGTGCAGAGGGTGTGGGGTGATGAAGCACGGATAATCAGCAAAGATCTGAAGGGAAGAAAAGCTCAATACAGTGTGCCCCCCCGCCCCCACCCCCACCCCCACCCCTTCATCTAGCAACACTTTGACACTCGCTTGTAATGCACACACCAAAGACCAGCTTTCTTTTGCAACTAATTTAAATTTTTTTTTTACTCGAACTCCTCTTCAATTAGCTGCTGTGAATAAATGAAACAAGACGGTTAAAGCTTTTTCTTCTGTTTTTCTTTTTCTCAACACGTCCAGAACAAAAATCAAAATCAATAAGATGCAAAAGTATGATTTTTGATGGAGGATTAAGAGGAGATACGTCATCGTCTTTTTAACAAACATCCAGTTTGGGTCACCTTGTGACTGAGCAAAATTAATAAATCAATGAAAACTTGCATCCATCATTCATACAGAGTTACTATAGGGCTGAAAGTGCAATTTTATATGTATATATGTACAGTATATGCTAAAAAGTTTATTCTTGACTCCTCTTGGTTGTGCTGATCAAAGCATTTCGTTCCCACTGGCTTCTTTTACGGTATAGAAACTATTTTCTTATGTATCGCCTCGCTGCCATAAATAGTCTGCCACAGGGAGTCCTACATCTGCCGTCTCACGGCTCGAAGTTTGAACATTAAAGTTGCTGATAAACAAGATTGAATTTCCATCTTTACAGCATGTCGACACGCTTCAACATGCTTTGTTTAACCTTCTCAAGCGTTCATTTTAAACTAAAGATGCACCTTTGTACTCGCTGCTAATGTGCACTTAAAATTCTGGTTTGATTTATTGATATACTTCATAGGTGGAGTCAGTTTCTCAGCCAGAACTGTACGGAAAAGATATAATAAAAAAGATGAAGGATTTTAGCTTCAGCCGGAATGATGATTTGGTTGTCTGGAATGATGCATCGTGCATCACCAAACTTTAAACTTATCTCCTCCTGAAAGACGTCTGGTATCAATCCTGTATATATTCACATAATTTTACTCTGCGCATCATCAGTTATTTGCTAAACCTATTCCTGTGCATTACGAAGCTTCTCTGTTTTGTTAAAATGGCAACTTCCTTGTCTGACGCAGCTGTTTCT